GCCCAATTTTAGGAAATACAGCTGACCATAGCAAACACTTCAGCAAACCTGTGACTTTCATTCATTTGAAAACAAAATGTGATGTTACTGTAGGTAAAAATACCGTAAACAATTTAAAATACTTTCATGTTTGACCACAAAAATCTTGAAGTGCCATATTTAAGTGTGTGGAAAAAAAAAGGTTAATTTGGGGTTCTATATATAAAGCAAAGGGTTCTTTACTCAATTCCAAAGAACCTTTTATGCTAAAAAGGGGGTTGGAACTTTGGAACTTTGGAAAAAAGGGGAATAGAACTTTTTTCCTGGTTACAAAGAACCCTGAAGGGTTCTTATTATTGAACCCTTAAAAAAGGTTTCTGCATAGACTGCATAGCGCTGATAGAACCTTTTAAGGTTCTAGAACCTTTTCTTCTAAGAGTGAATGCAAAATAGATTTAAAGTCTTTTTTTTTCTGTTAAATTTTGTATGAATTTAAATATTTGATAATTATGTGACATGTTATTTTGACTAACTGATTACTGATGATTTAATATAACGTCCATGCCCTCTGTAGGGCCTGACAGACAGCAAATATCTATATCATTATATTTCAATTTATTCACTTCTCTGATTCAATTTTTTTTTTCTGAATAGGACAATTTTTTTTGCAAACCAGAATCAAAACACCTTTTTAGGTGGTTTATCAGATTAAAATCGAACTGTTGTTAATTGTTCTCAGTCTAAAACTTTTCTTTTCACTAGTAAAGCACTAGTCATTTTAAAATGCAAAATAAGAATTTTTTTTTTTTTTTTAAAGATGAAAATCAGTTGGAAATCAATTGATCAAATGATTGGATGTTGTGTGTGTGTGTGTGTTTACTATCCCGGTGGGGTCTTCATCCTGAATGAACACAAACTCATGGGGACTCGTCACCATAGGTACGTAAATGAATGTCCCCATGAGGAAACATTCTTAAAAAATAATACCGAGAGGTTTTTTTATTTTTTAATTACTGAACTTGTTACGGTGTATTATGGGACTCCACAGAGGATAGTGATATTAATATTAGCGATTCGAATATGGCCCAAACAAGGAGACATCACCTTTAAGCCCTTTGTTTTTTGAAAAAAAATAATAAAATAGTAATAATGAAAGCACTACTTCATGTCAAAATTGTCATGCTTTGATCAAAATCACAGTGACTGCTAAACTAATTGTCCTAATAATAATGACAACAGATGCCTGCCTGCCTTGCCTAGTTTTGATTGCGTGACCTCGTGACCTTTGCCTTTATTTGAGAGCACACGGGCCGCAGTAAATGAACGAGTGGCCGTCTCCACCAGACTGAGGTTATGAAGGATTATTGACTCGGGTTTTATAAATAGTTAATGCTCGCATTAAAAACTATGGCAGAGGATGGCCATTAGGCCGTCGTAATAAAGAGGCTTTCTGTGTGATTGAGTGAGGTGAGGGCCGAGCAGGGGCCGACCAGGGGCCACTCTTTGATGAAGACGCAACAGAACACAGGAGGAAGGCTCTGTCCTCGCATTTATTTAATACTGGGAAAACATGCGGCAGGACTGGACCGTACGACAGCGTCGCGCTTCAGCTCGGCAGCTGCCCGCCGTAATTGCTTCAGCGGCCCTGACTTCATGTCTTTACGACTGGTGATGGAGCACAGAATAATTATTTCTAACTCCATAAAGCTTATAGTTGAATCGTTCCGCACCGCAGTTGAAGCAAAACATCGGACATTAGCGTATTCCCACAGCGCGCGCTGGATGATCTGCATTCGCGGTACTTTCAATGGCCATCAGTTGCTTTGGAGGATGATGAATGCTCCTTCATACATTTATAATGTAACTGTTTGTTGTTGTTTTATTTGGTTACACAAGATTGATATACTCGTGAAGAAACAGATGCGCACGTACAGCGTAGCAGCAGCCGTCTCCAGCAGCGGACGTTTGCCCGAATGGCAGGCGACCAAAAATCGATCCCTAATCTGATTGGGGGATGTTTTATTACCTCTGATAGAATTTAGATTTTCTCTGAAGCAATTTCTTCGGCGGATAAAAGAAGCTATTTAAGGGTAGAACAGGCGATTTCATTCTCCGGGCCCGTATAAAGACTATTGTCCAGTTTGTTCATTGTGCTAATTGTAGGAGACACCGATAGGCCCCCGTGCAGTGTCCTCAGCAGGTAAACGCTCGAGTTATCTGGCTACAGATCACCCCGTCCAGGCAAATAGGCACAACAGATCACATTCAAATGCTGTTCTTTGGCATATTGACACTGCGGCTATCAGCCGGGCCTGTTATCTGACTGAAGCCCTGATCTATGCCAGCGGGCGGTCGCATAATAACCTGCGAATCAGTTATGCAGAGACTCTGCCTCCCCTTAATTGTCCACATTGTGAGTAAGAAAACACGCGGCGAGCGCCGTTGTCTTGATGAGAAATTGACATTTTCTGACCTGCTATCCGGAGGCACTCAGAAAGACAGATAAGATACGTGGTTGTTTTAAAGCAGGGAGGTTATTCTTCTAGGACTGTGCAGATGAGTATGGATTGAAGACCATGACTATGAACTATGAAGGTTTCCAACACCTCTTTTAGAAAAGTGATAACCTTGGCCGTTGAATGCATCGACTTTTATCCGCAGTCGGTTAGACAGTCGCCAAGCACACTGCGATGGTCTTCTGGGCATGAAGTTAGCACATTAGCCTGTGCTATGCAAAACAAAACTTTTTTTTTATTTATTTTTTTTTCAGGTTAAAGGGTTTTTTTTCACTTAAAAAAAAAAAAGCTTTTGCTGATAATTTACTCACCCCCATGTCATCCAAGATGTCCATGTCATTCTTTCTTCAGTCGAAAAGAAATTAAGGTTTTTGATGAAAACACATTCTCCATATAATGGACTCCAATGGGAACCAAACAGTTCAAGGTCCAAAAGACAGTTTCAGTGCAAACTACAAACTGTTCAAAGGGCTTTAAACGATTCCAGACGATGAATAAGGGTCTTATCAAGCGAAACGATCACTCATTTAAAAAATAAAATAAATAATAACAAAGTTTATAAGCTCAAATGGTCGCCTTGCTCTGTTCTGTGATGCGCGTTCATGAATCTCCTGTTTGAACTCTTTTTTCGTGTCATTTGGTTCATTCAACGAACGAAATGAACGAATTGACTCGGGAAAAGATTTGTTCATTTTGAGTCACGAACGCGCATCACAGATGGGGTGAATTGTTCATGGATTTTACCATGGTTAAAGGCGGCCTGTTCATAAGCACAATGCAAAGTGACAATAAAATATAACATTAATTAAGAATTGGATTTATGAATATTATGCAAACTGTTGACTGTTTAGTGTCCCCAAGCAATTAAAATGACAAAAGATCCAAACTTGACACTTGAAATTAAAGTTAACACGAAATCAAAACTTACCATGATTAATTACCCTATGCTCCTTACTGTGAATAATTGATCAACTCACAAAGCAAATTTTGCATTCATAATCTTTCTTTAAAATGTAATAACTTTTTTAGTTTTAAATCCCTATTTTTTAAACCACCTGACCACATTTCACATTCTTGATAAAATCAAGTTTAAGATTCCTCTCATTGGAAATCCCATTCCACTTGATAAATAGGCAAATATATTGTCGAACTGATATCAGCGAAGTCTGATTTCAAACTCTTCCAAAATAGGTTGAAAAGGCCCATTTGACTGTTAAATGCATCCCGTTTAAAAGAAGCGATGAATCCCAGCGCTAGCTGCTGTAGGTATCAGATCTGACTGGGCTCCTTTAGCCTGTAATTGCTCAACTTACATTTCAAACACTGGGCTCAACGAGGCATCCAGTTGAATCAGTTATGGAGCAGATTCCTGATGAGACAGAGACAGTGAAGCTCAATTCTACAGTCAGCTCACTAATGACCTTCAACAAGGTTAGCACCGGCACTGTCCTCTGCGTTCACCCTCCGCGAGCGCTACGTCTAATGATGCATGCATGACTGACAAACCCCATGTGGTTCTGCAGGTTGTAATTCACATCATGTGTTGATGAAGAGGTGCACCTACTCTACTAATGATGTCCTGTTAATGTTGATGGAACCGAGACTTTTTTTTCCATTTTACACTTGTCGGCCCCGTCTGGATGAATCGCGGAGAAATATCTCCCGGCTCCCTATCGAGCGAGGCCAAAACAGTGTCCGGCGCGAAATGGCAGTAGTTCTTCAGGGATCAATGCGTTGACCAGGAGGGCCTCCCACCCCTGGAGACTGTCATTTCTTCGAGGAATTCACAGGAGTGGAAGATGAAAGCCTCACCCAAAAACACCCGGCCGGCCGTAAGAGTCTCAGCCAAGGCCAAGGCCAGAGAGAGAGAGACGGGGCCGCCATCTTAGCCGGATCCGCTTCATAACTGCAAGCATTTATACCGATCAGATGTGACAGGCTTTACAGGTTGACTTTTTTTCTTGTTGATTGTTGGCATTTTGTCTCTGTCCTTGTCCTGACGTTTATAATGCATTACTTTCCTGAAAATCTTTTTTTTTTTAATTAGATTTAAGCAATAAGGTACACGAGACTGTACTGAACGTTGTTTATAGTTAATTTTTGTCTTTATTATTTGGCAAAGCAGATTCATGAAGTCTGTCTTTCTGCTTGAAGCTGCCATGCATGACATTTAAACTACAGTAAGGTCAGTAGTTCGTCTACATGGGTTTTGAGCAGTGATGTTGTGCATCATAACTGTATATTTTAGGATATGACTGGAACGTCATATTGATCAATCGGCATCCAAGGCAAAAATGCTGTACTTTATGCTGGATTATTATTTTCTTTTTAGTTTATATGCATCTTTCAGAGACGTAGAAGTAGATGATAAAAATCACTGTGATAAACAAAACTTTTAACATTTGTAGATTTTTCCTTCTCATATGTATTTTTTTTCTTGATTTTGAAAGCATGGCTGTTTTTAGAGCGAGAAAAGACCAAAATAAGATTGCAGGGAGAAATTGGTCACAGACAAGAAATACTTTAATTAAATATTATGTAAAATGAACAACTTTGTACAACAAAATGTAGAAATGTGGCCATAAAACAACTCAAATAAAACCATACATGAGCCAGAAAAAAAAAAAAGGCATTAGTTCTTACAGCGCTCGTGTTTAGTGAAATCTTCCGAGTATATGGGGACGCAATTAGACTTAAAGACAAAACCAGATTGCAGAAATGATGAAATCCACAAATGCACTTCACGTAACCTTGGGTTTTTCTTACTTTCAGGGTGACCTCAACGGCTCCTCCACTTGGCCGGGCTTTGTTGAGCCATCACAAAGCAAATACATTGTACATTCATCATTTCTTTCCTTCTACAGCTGCCTTTGCTTCCTGCAGCTAAAGGAAACTTGTGTGCCGATTGCCAAGAGGAAACATCCGCTTTTGGTTTGAAACAGAAAGAGTAGCACACTGCTGAACATTACAACATTTACAAAGCCTGAAGTGCAAAGAAAAAGAGCTTGAAAACAAAGCTTCGCATTATATATATATTTATATATATCACTGCGTATCATTTGCGAATTTTGGCACGACTCGGAAAACCAATATTATCGAAAGAGAAAAGTGTAAGGAGGTGATATGATTGCGGCTATGCTACGGTGTCATGGGTTACTTACAAAATGACATTTACAATATAGAACATCTTCATCTTTATTATCCATACATATGATACAAAAACTAACTTTTCATTTGTTCTCATTCCCTTTGAACGCTGTTTTACTTGAGGGAGTAGGGAAAAATTAATGTTAAAAAAGACAAACTGACAAAATAGTCCAAAAAGATGAGGGGTCACAATAATTATTTTTTATTTTAGTAAAAAATGTTTGTGCTTTTTACACCATTGATCTGAATGGAATAATGAGATTCACTGTGGTGAACGTTTGTCATTAAAACAGCAGAAAGGTTCCTCTCAGGAGACTCACTGGAAAGCCTTTTTTTTCTGACATATTTTAATAAACATTAGTAACTGATGTATATTTCCATTGCAGATATTTTTTTTTCTTTCATTGTTTTTTTTTTTTTTCCTTCTTGATCCCTGTAAACATGGTTGAGTTATGTGGCAAAGTCATGGTGGCAGGTAAAAATGACTTTTTACATTCTACAAAAACAAAATTTACAACCACAATTGGATTTCCCCCCTCCCCTGGGGCAGCTTGACATGCACTTTATCTACTAATATTATTACAGCCAGGTGACACAAACAATTTATTTGACTATACAACAAACAGTTTCCTTTCAAAAAAGTACTTTTTTTAGATAACTTAAAAATTAATATAAAAATAAACAATGGATTTGATTGCTCCTCGAAATAGCAAATAAACAAACAAATGAACAAAAAAAATGGACGGAAGGTCTGATGCCATTCAAAAAAAAATCTGATTTACAAATGAAATGTGTAGACGATACAAAACATCGAATGATTCTTGGCTAAACCTTCATCGTAATTCCGGCCGTGGAAAAAACAATACATGTGAGATTAAAGAAAACGATGGAAAGCAATATACAAAATTTCAAAGATAAATACAATATTTATAATTGATATGTTACAAAAAATTCCCTTAGTGACCGCAAGTGTTTGTGTGAAAGTGTTGCAATGTATAAGACAATTTTACTCCTAACTGTAGGAATAAAACTCTGTACTAAATATTTAAGTGAATCTGGAAAATTCAAGACAAGTGTATAAATATTTAGCTACAACTTTGGCAAAATCACAAAAGTCTACAATTGTATAACCACATACAAAACACATTAGGGAGTAAGGAGCTAGAGGTATAAGGACAACTTTCTGGTACAAGAAACAGACTTCACAGTAGCCTAAGAATGCAATAGTATACAGTGCTAGCAAAAAGTTGAAAAACATTGCAGATCACACTCGCTTTACAGGAAGCTTTAGCAGTGGAAATATTTTCTTTTTCTTTTTTTGTTCTTTTTTTGTCTTTTTTAACCAACAGATAGTAGCGCTTCGTCTCTGTTAGTGTGCTTGTTGAAGGCAAGAAAAGAATTTTTGCAATATCAAAGTTACAACTTCTACCTACAATAAGTTACAAAGTTCATTGAACGATTAGATCTCCTCTCGCTCCGTTCGTTCTTCCTTGCCTTTCTTTTCGATTTATAAATCATATATCTTATATTATTTCCAGTTTATTGGCTCTGTATATATTGGCCCCCTTTTTATTACCACAATCAAAAAAAAAATGGCAAAACAATAAACAAAAAATAACAATAATAAAAAAGGAAAATGAATTCACATTATGAAGATGTGCAGCGGCAGCACATCGGTGAAAGAGAAACATTCTTACACATTTTTTTTTTATCAGTGTTTTCATCAAATGGCATATCCACAATGTTTCTTCCCACACATAGCAAGAACTAGACATAGCCAAGATTAAACCAGAAATGTTTATACAAAATAGGTACGTTTTGTTCTTTTTTCCCCCCCTTCAAGATCGTGAAAATATGACAAGAGATTCAGTCAATATAATGAAATTGTTCATTTGCATGTCAATTTCGAATAAACTCTTTGAAACAAAGTGTCTTTTTCCTCTGAATAACAGAATTAGCTGCTGATTAACTTCATGACGAATGACGACTTCGAGGAGGATCCTCCGTATAACGTACTACGCTTCGTCCCCCGGCGAGGAGACGGATGCTTTACAAGGGACGGGAGTGCAATTTACATGGGTGGGACCACCAGTCCGGACATGGCTGAAAGAGAAAGAGGAACAATTTTAGCACGGGAGGTCCCAAGACAACGACAACAACAAAAAAAAGAACAACACAGCAGTAAGTATGTCACTCGCATTTCACAAAACACTCGACTCGAAAGGCGCTGGGGATGTTTGCAAAATGGAGGCTGTTGCTGTCGGGGACCGACGGGGGAGGGTTAGGAGTGATTGAGTGAAATGTGCTTCACCAACGAAGACTTCACTTTTAGAAAGAGGAGCTTTCTGACATTTTGAGGAGAAAGCATCCTGGCTCCCACATGTGTGATATTTCTCTTAGCGTTTTGTTAATGGCAAACAGTGGGCCAGACTCCCAGGAGAGGGTCCCTGCTGACAGCCGAGAAACAACACGGTCACTTCTGCTAACGTCACATAGACCCACGGTCTCCCCTCCTCAGTCAGCAACCAGACACCCCTTGGCTTTGCCCAAATTGAAATCTTCGCTCGCTCCCTCCTGCCATTACCGGAGCCGAGTGGATGCTGGAAAACCATTTGCATTCTTCTGTCAGCCCGTATATCCCCCCCTCCCCATATCTCTCCTTATCGTGACATCTAAAGAAAGCCGGACTAGGTCGTCGAACGCCCACCTCTCGGCCCGAAGATTGATGTACTCGCTCGCTCCGCTCATTTCCGCAATTAGGTGTCTAGTGAAGTGCCAGGGGAGGGAAAACAGGAAAAAAGCTCTTTTGCCGCTTTCAACTTATTTGTAGAGTCATGCTTGGAGTGCTTTTAAGTTTGCCAAGGCATCTAATGTTGTGGCATTCCTCATTAATTTCTGCAAACCACATATTAATAAGTGGATGCATGTAGCGGCATGAACTTTAATTTCTCAGTTCATTAGGTCTAACATTATTAATCTCGCTTGCACACGCTATGGCTAAAACATGTTTTCAAAGCAAACAACTGGGCCTTGACGGAGAGCAAATACGAGCGCACTAAACAGCCAGAGTAAGTCTTTAATTTGCCGAACGACGCCGCCCTGCCGAGAATAACTCGAGCTCTTTCCCTCTCGCTCTTTCTTCTTATAATCACGTTCAACCTGGGTTATAATCGCTTCTTCTGTTGTCAAGTTCCTGTTAGTCCACGGCGAGATGTTAACATGCCCTTCTGCCTTACTATTGTAGGATGCATGAATTTTTAACTGACTACAGTATTCTGAGGGCCAGCGAAGGTAAATAGAATATGAATATGTTCAGCTCAGTTTGAATAATGGAGCAGGAGCATCCATTTTATTTGCGCGAGATGCTTCCGAATTATAGCGATCCCAGCCACTCGAGTACGAAATCCCCCGAGACACTTAACTTTGCTCAATCATTAATGAAAGATAAATAAATCAATAAACACACCCACACATGCACATGCATTCTACATGCCCGCATGCATAATGCGTTCTTGCACTTATTCGACCACTCATCCGTCCATCCATCCGCCCATCCAAACGCGAATGCATAATTGATGCGGGCGGGAGGCCATGTTCGTTAAGCGGCGGATGGCGGATGGGTGGCGTCTCTGGATATACCAGAGTGCAATGATGCGACCCAACAGGTGAGGCAACTGCGGGGCGAACTAAAAGCAGGGATTCGGCTCTCACCTTGAAGTCCATTGCCATTTGCACTGGTGCAAGAAGGAGGTGGAGATGCTTGGGGCCTGACAACTGGAGCAAAGGCGCTTTTTTGTTTCACTGCAGAGATGACATTGGCAGGTGAGAATGAGAAAATGCCGTGTGTACTGCTACAGTTTGAAGAGAGGCTGACCGAAGAGGCTGCCATGGTAGGGCTCGACGGAACTACTGCAACAAAGCAGACATAGTCACCACTCAGAGAGAGTTCACTTCTTACAGACGAAGAGTCAGAGAGCCGGGCCTCGCCTCTTTTTCAAATCATATTCATGGAATGAAAACAAATCAGGGAGAAATGGTTATGAGGATATGGGGGGGAATTTGTGTTGCGGGTCTTTTTTTTTTGGTGGGGGGGACTAAAACAAACGAGCAAATCAGGTAAATGGAGTTGGAATGGGAAATGAGATGTCCTGCCTTGGCCACTTTCTGGATAATAGGCGTTCTTATCGACTCTGAATGGGTCATTTTGCCGAAAACATTTTTTTTTTTTAAATGTATTGTTTTGTTAAATTTTTTTAGAGTGCTGTTTGGTGGCCTCCTTTATAATTGAAATTTGTTTGCTTTGATTGGTCGGATTTGCTAAATGTCTGGGTTGTTCAGCCTCCAGAGTCACCCCTCCTTTTATCCAGTAGCACACATTCCCAAAAGATAACAAAAAAACAAAACAACAAACAACCAACAGAACCACAACAAAGGAGTGTCAAAAGAAAAGGGAAGCATAGGTGGGGACACAGAGAGAGCAGGGGCTCGTCATTACCTTGATACTTACTGCCGTAGGGAGAATTCGCGGACGAGCCGTTCAAGAAGCCCGGTGAACTGGGCACACCCAGGTTGGGCATTCCCGTGTTGCCGTAGCCGTTCATGCTGTTGCTGACGGTGTTGTAGTTGGACTGCTGCGGGGTGCTGCTGGGCACGTAACCGCGAGGCGACACGCTGCTCGTGTTGCGACTGTAGCCCACTGCGGACGGAGAGACATTGGTTAAAAAGTGGCACGAGCTTAAAATTTTTCAGGTAGATGCCATCACCAAAGTTGTTAAAGTCCCTGTAAAGGCAATTCTACAAAAAAGTTCTAAACACATTATAAATGTTACATAGGTATTGCTAAAACATATTACAAAGACTGTGAACTGTGACGTACTGAAATGTGGAGTTAGACCGTTAAACAGTTTTTCACCATTGCAATTTTACGGATTGTTTGGGCAGGGCTAAAACAGGGCTCGATGACGCACTGGAGCCCATGAGCTCCTGGACACGCCCCTATTTGATTTGATGAGTCTGTTCTCTCCCCTAACACACAATAACACTCCCCGAGCACATTCGCATTCACCGCTCAATCGCGAGTGACTGTCAGTACTATTAGTTACTACAGCTGAGCCTACAGTTTGCTATCTAGCGATGCCTTCGACACGGACATAGTGCATAGGCTACCTGGATGCGATCATGTACAAAAGATCGGTATCTTCATTTAAATTCCCTAAAAATGATCACATCAAGAAGAGGTTTTTAGAGAGCCAACCTTGATGAAGAGCTGAGCATCACCGACAACACTATTAACACAAATAGAAGACACTATTTGTGTCTTCAGATCACTCTGAAGTGATCATTTTACACTGGATAGTTTTATAAACTTTCCTCAGAGACAACTGGGATTCACTGATAATCCGCTGTTTCGCACGGGGCAGAAACGACTATCTCCCAGTGTTCATCCTCCCGTCCCGAAAGCAGTTTTACCAAATTTCACCGTCAACAGCTTTCCTGGCAGTGGGAGTGGTTTCAGCACAGCTAGCGGACACGCCCCCAGCGTTTGAGAACAGAGATAACTGCTAATTTTTTCAAGATTTTGATAGCTTATTTTATGTACTTGCCGGCTTTTTTTATCATTTAAATTTGGCTGGGTGGCTAATAACACATTTTTCTGTGGTGTGACAAACTCAGAACACATACTTAATTTTGACTTTACAGAGACTTTAATGCTAATTCTATATGCTGTTTATAGGCCTAGTGTGTTAGCCTTTCCGTTCCACACAGCTGCGCGTTAAATTCACCACCATGTATGTAAGGAGGATTCAGCATTCTAGGGTGTATTCCAGTGTGATTTTTCCCTGTCCTGACCTGAGAGAAGGCAACAATGGAACAGGTGTAAACCTATTATCAGTACACTGGCTAAATGCAGTGTGTGAGATAGCGCTGCGTGTCCTGGCAGGCTGGCAGCGGAGAGATGGGGACAGGGTCACGCACCTCCTGGGATCTATGCTATACACAGCCAGGAAAGATAAAGCTGCAACCGGCCTGTGCCATGATTCATGCTGCTAGCAGCTCGCTAATGCTCGCTAATCGTTGCAAGCATTTTTCTAGATACGTATATAACTCATTTTGAAACTCACAGATGAATAACTAAAGTGGTTAGCAAGTTCTCTAGCCTGGCTACGCTGGTTAGGCTATCTGTTTGGATAGTTTTAAGGGTTTTTCGGCAACAATGATCAGCTAAACACCATTAGGCTAACTCATCGTTTGTTCCCACATACCTTGTGAGGTCTCTGAGACGTTGACAGCGAGCTGACTGCCGAAAGAGTTGACCCCCATCATTCCGCCGTGAGAGGCCGTGTTGGCGAGGGACGGGATCTGGTTGTGGTTACGTGGTACGCTATACAGAGCCTCTGCGATATCTGCGGCCCTCTTCAGAATGATCTCCTACCAAACAGAAACAGAGTAGAGAATTTTCAGTATGTTCTCAAAAGAATTTAGGGTCAGAGAATCTCTCGCTCTCACACTCCATGTTTAATAGGACTTTTCAAAGAAATAATGATTTTTATACTCTAAAAACTGTATATTCTTTCCCCTAATCCTATCCCTAAACCTACCCATTACTGAAAACTTTCTTAATTGTTAAATCTTTTACATTACTTAGTATGATATATAAGCTGTTTTCCTCATGGGAACAACAATAACGTAGAGTATACCTGAGCCACACACACACACACACACACACATATATATATATATACATATAAATATGTATTTTCTTTCTGTAGGTAAACATAAATGACACTACGCTTGCATCTGTTCCACAGTAGTTGGATTGCAATGTCTTCACCTCTGTGCTACTCGACTAGGAGAAAATAATGTAATGGATCATTTCTTCTGAATATGTATTAGACCTATCATGCATAGCCGGACCTCTCCGTAGAATAAATTCCAGAAGTGCACCTTTTAGGGCCAAGTTCAAGGTTATCCTCCCATTTAAATAAGCCTGTATATAGCTGTGTGCATGTGTTTTGAGTGATTAACTCGTCACTTTGCACCAAGAGCCGCAGCCATGAATTAAATTGCAAAAAAGCAGAAGTAGTAGAAGAAAACAAGCTTTCACACAGCTACAGTACAAAGGCCCCCAGCAAGCTTTGAAACATACAGGAATGTAGCAAAAGGAGACAAATGCTGATTTAATTACAGCCACCGTGCAAAGGAAGAGAAAAGGTGCTTCATTAGCATGAGTTTGTACCTGGTTGTTGTGTGGCATCCCGTACAGTGCTTCCACAAGGTCAGCGGCTCTCTTTAGCAACACCTCCTGCAATACACACACAGAATGCAACATAATCAGTCATAAAGACATATAAACACCATCAGCCAGTGCACTGCAGATGAACTATAAGCGTGCATGCTTTCTGGGTACGCTTTCAAAGCCCTTTATCTCTGGTTGGGAAAAAAATACACAAGCTGACGAGCGTAAATAAAGCGCTTTTTAATTATTTATTATCAAATGCATTCTTTTATTTCTTAGTCACATTTCATTTGACTTAGTTAGACTAGTGAAGTGGTGTGTAACCTAAGCTAAATAAGGACTTGCTTTTCAACGAAGTGGCCTTGCGGGTATTAAACAAACAAACACTAGCGAGTCAAACACAGACGCTGCGTTCGCCTGCTAATTCCACGCACTTTAGCTCAGAAGAACAATGAGTCATTTTCCATATCTTAATTAAACTGGCAGAGTACTCGAAGACAACATCTCACCCCTAATTCATGTCCTAAATTTGCAGAAGAGTTCAATGCCCATTCCTCTTTCTTCAGGACAATAAAGTGAATTAGCTCGGGTTAATCTAGCTCTTTCATAATGACATTAGGAATTTTTTCAATTAACCCTCTTTCTCTGGCTGTTGTAAAGGACTTCATAAACGACTTCCTCTCCAAAGCGGGCTGAGAGGCTGTGCCCTGGGACACGGACGGCGGGAACTCTCGCTTATCCCCGTCTGCAAGCTTTCCCCCCACTTATAACACAACAAGGATTAACCTTCCGCTTATTTTTCCCTTCAAAAATCGCACCCAAGCTGCCAACAAGCGTGTCTCTAAGACGTTTTGCATTGGCTTGTTTTCTTCCAACGGGCTGCTTTTTAGGGAAATTATGCTACGGTATATTGTTGTTTGATTTTAGCTGACTTGTCCATTCGCGCTTTGAGTGTAACCACATTCACGGCATTGTCCTTGCGAGTGCGTAGCGCGGAGCGCCTTCATCATGGCTCGATGGCTATTTCATTCCCATGCACAAGCGCCATGTTGGATCTGGATTTATCAAGATTAATCACAGGCCCGTGTGTTTTATAGAGACGCACTCCAAACCTGAGCCTAAGCGGATGACTGCTTCTTCAAATGGGCATTTACCTCTGAAATTGGGGGCTCCGTTTCATGTTGCAAGCATCTAGTTTGCATACAAATAAAGAATTACACTTGTCATTCAGCAGGTAGTGTCAATGAAAGACCCAGCTGTCCTAGTCTCTCTCTAAGCAAGATTAAGTGTTTTTCTGAGCCGCTAATAATTACTCATCATCTCAGTCATCATATCACAAGACGTCTTACATGCCTCCCAATTTCACCCGACGATTATCGCAATTAACGCCGGAGAAACCTCACCCCGGCAGACTCGTACTTGAACTTCTTGTCCATATGGCGGCCGAAAGAGACGCAAGGATAGTTTAAGAAAACGTCACGTCTTCTCAGCCCTAATCTGTCATTTGCCACGAGGTGCGTTTGCTAATGAACCAGATTTAGCGGCGTGCGTTGAAGTGGGAGTCTATATGCGTCGAAAGCATCGGCCAATCGCTGGAGGAGGCCCTGAATGAGTTTGTTTTGTTCCAGCATGCCCCTCTCATCCTCGCGGCCTCACGCTGAGAATATGATTAGCGGTGAGCGGTGTTCGAAAAGCATTTCCATGTAAATTTCAGTGCGGCGGCGGCGTTAAGTGTAATTGACTCCCCTTCCTTTTCTGCATCGACGCAAGAATCCGGGTTAGACTGAGAACTATTTAAGCCCGAAACGATCCCAGGGCTTGTTTCGTGACAAATGCGAGGGCTTATTATTACAAGAGCTCATTGTTCCGCCGGTGGACGAGAATCGTTTAAATGGAAAACTTGTTATTATCGTTCTTGAGTATCCTGAGTGGTATATATCACCACTGTTAAAGAAGCCGAGTGAGGTGAGGGGCTGGAGGTGCTAATGTCATTATAAAAGTGTAAAGCAATTATTCTGTTACTTCTTGCCTGAGGTGATGAATACATTGAGAAGTGCAGGGCCAATACGTGTTGCTACCTCGCAAAACCGAGAGAGAGAAGATGAATTTTAATGCTTGGGTAATTGCTCAACATGAATGCATTTCTAATAATTTTTCTTGTATATTAGATTGAACGGAAAGCCGAATAGATTGGTGTTTGCGAGCTGAAACAGGACGCGAAGGCTAATGGAACTGATGAACGCGAGAATACGTCCGACCACTGTATGATTCGCATTAAAGATTATTTGATGGCACATAAGTGAACGTATAGGGCCTGATCAGATTTTCATTCCGGTGTTTGTCTCAGTTTTATATCGAGACAAATGGATGACACTGATTTCAAACAAGGACTTAAAAGAAAGAGGATTGGAAGGTCCCTTTAGCAATCTCCTGCCTCATCACATGAGTGACTTCACATATTGCTTTTTACTTTTTACTCTCTCTCTCGCCACCTTCATATATAAATGTGTTCAATGAACACCCCTTCTCTTGTATTGAGCAGCAAATTTTGAATTGATCAAAAATTATGGAGGTAAACTGCAATAAGATGGTATGAATATGTTACAGTAAAACAATTGAGAAATACTTTGTACTAATGCAACTAATGCATATGAACACAACGTATATAATATTATTTAAGCGATTGGCTTTCTGTCCTGCTGCTATCCCCCTATCAGAGTGTGTGCATTGTAGATCCCTGACTCAAAAGAAGGAAGGAAAAGGAAAAGGGAAAAAAAAAAAAACAATCCAGGAATCGATATCAGGGGCGTATTATCAACTCTACATCTGAGTCGAGCGGCGAGCACGAGTGTGATGGCTTTACCTTATTGCTAACACACTGTGTACATCCCTCCCCCCGAAACCTCTTATTACAGCGTTCTGTCTCCCGCCCGTAACATCTAATGCAGCCGCTCCTCCCAGACGCTCTGCCTCTTATTGAGAATATGTGTAAGGGTCAATTGCTGCTTTGCGTGGCGCTGGCTGTGACCCTCGAACGCGATAGAGGTGCAGACGGCTGCGGTAACTATGATGAATCACTTGGCACTTTCATTTACATGCTGCTGAACTCACATTTGGGTCCATTAGAAGCCAAAATCAAATATTTATGTTGTTTATTGGAACTGCTCTTGTGTGATGGCCCTGTGCTGTGGGTTTACCTGAATTTGAGATGAGTGAGATCGAATGCACTTGATAAAAAAAGACATTTCCATCACATTTTTTTTTGTTATTGATTTTTTTTAAATAAAAAAAAATATATATATATATATATATATATATATATATATATAATTTTTTTATTATTTTTTCAGCACTAGAAATGCTCAAGCAGGGTGGCTTTTATTTATATATATATATATATATATATAAAATGTTTTTTTATTATTTTTTCAGCACTAGAAATGCTCAAGCAGGGTGGCTTTTATTTATTATTATTATTTTTTTTTGATAATGGATAGTTTAAACGTTTACTGGAATGAGATTTCCTGTCCAGATATTGGCCTCCGCAGAGACAGAGAGCCAAGTTTAATTGAAACACATCATGTGGCGCGGGACAGAGTCTTACGGATTCTTAGTTTGGTGCATGTCCGCGGGACGCTGGCGCAGAGACCGCGTCGTTCCAGAGCTGTTCAGTGGAAGTTAATGATAGCGGTTGCTCCCATGCTGGGCTTTAATAGATATTTGTATGATATCTGTTATTAGGCCTCCATGGTGGTCAGCACCCACGAACAGAGTACAAAATAATCTCTTAACATATTATTAAGAAAAGCCCTCGGCGCCGCGCCACTCTCAGATGGTAAATTAGCACGTTTTCTATTAGCCGGGCACAAGTCATAGATCCTATCAAAGCTAAATGAGCAAAAAAAAAAAATGGCCGAATCAAAGAACAGGAAATAGAAAAGGTCCAACTGACACACTTTGTCTTTCATGTCACACATCAAAACAACAGAACTCTGATTCGAGTCGACCACATGGGAACCGCAGGCAAACTGCATGGTTTGTGGAATTTAAGTGGGGAATAAATAAATAAATGAAGCTAAAAAGCCCAGAGAGAGGGCTTGCCCATATTAACGTGCACAGAACTCATTTATTAACCTGCTAAGACAAGGACTTTTAACGGAAAAGCTCTGTAAACAAAAGATTAAACTGGATCTAGCTTTGGAAAATGAAAGGAAAACAAGACCAAAATAATCACCCATCTGAAAAAGGCCTCTGTTTAGATTACAATCGCCACTGCCTACTGGGGTGGAAAAATACTTAATTGAACCATTTCGACGTGCCGAAAGTTTGCGCGATTCCAGCGGAATCCAAACACGCCGGATTGCATAGTGATGACTTGCCAAAAGCGATTGCTCATCTAGCCAGTGAATTGTTTCCCGTTTTGACATTTCTATGATAAATAGCTCTTTCACACACATACACACACACACACACACAGAATCACTGACCTTGGGCAACCTCTCCGGATCACCTGGATGTCTGGGAATGACCTTTTGCAGTCTCTGGAAGCCGTAGTCGATGGTTGGTTCGTTCAAAGCTAAACCGCAAAACAAGAAACGCCATCCGTTAGCATCCCGCGCGGGCAAAACAAATGATCAGATTTGCGTTTTCATATGCACGTTATTACATTCGCTCTTGAGAACGTATGCACCCATCATGCATTTTATTCCAGATAGGTTTGAGCATTTGAATTAAAGGTAATAACGTGCTGTGCAATATTCTGTCATGCCACGTAGAGCCACATCTGTCACCTCGACTATTTGGAAGAACAAGGCCTGTAATTGATCAGATAAATTTAAAGGATACATTATGAATGAAACAGGCACACTAATACAAACACTCACACACCACTCGATTGCGACTGTCAACCCTGTGAAGTCTGTATCAGTCCTACTTCCTGAAGCACCGGCTGGATTTATGGCAATGGGCGATGATGACATATGTCTGGCTATTGCAGCCTTTCAGATTTATCCCTCCTTCTCGCAATCTCTCCGCCATAGTGCGCTAAAGCAAAGCAGGCAGGAGGAACACTTCATCTTATAGAGCTTTAATAATCTGTGAATGGTTGACTACAAACTGATGTAGGGCGCTATCATTTCACAGCTGTGCTGGGGCTGGCCTCATGAAATTGCTGGCCACAAATAGTAATTAATCTTTTCTTTCACACACACACACACACGTCCCCTCCCTCTCAAATTGGAATTTTGAGTACGAAAGTGCTCCGGTTATAAATCAGACATAGCTACTCTGTATACAAGTGCATGAATCATAATCTCAACTTCCTGCTACCGCATGCATTGTGTTTAACAAGCTTTAGAAGAGTGCATGGAGGTCTATTATGCTCATACTAGACTATGAGCATGCGGAAATATTTTCAACATATGGGCAGCAGGAAATGATGGAGTAAATATAATATTTTTTGCATTTTCTGAATGCAATTGTCCATGCAAAAGTCAATACTAAGACAAGCATTAGGTCTCCATTAAATGACAATTCATCTATAGATAATTTCACAAGATGTAAACAACACTGGTCCAGAAACACTTCCTGTTTCAGTTTGTAACTGTTTTCTTTATTTCACATGTAAAGAAAACATCTTAAAGATGTTTGTTTAACTTTTTGATATAGTTTTAAATGTTCTGTTGGTTGTATTTTATCCCAGCTTTTATGTAGTGTTAAAAAACTGAAACAGGAAGCAGTGTTGTAGTACTCGAGACTCGGACTCGGTCTTGAGACCATATTTTAATGGTCTTGGTCTTGTCATGGACTCGTGTCCATTTGGACTCGGAATTGACTCGTACTCGAACATTTTTTTTTTTTAGGACTCGGAATTATTCCCGAGTCCACTCGAGTTCAATTAAAAATATTTTTCATGATTATTAATGTATGTTAATAAAATATTTTTTTTTATATTTCCGTCCTTCGGATGAGACGTTAAACCGAGGTCCTGACTCTCTGTGGTCATAAAAAATCCCAGGATGTCTTTCGTAAGAGCAGGGGTGTAACCCCGGCATCCTGGCCAAATTTGCCCAGTGGCCTCTGTCCATCATGGCCTCCTAATCATCCCCATATACACCAATTGGCTTCATCACTGTCTCCTCTCCACCAGTAAGCTGGTGTGTGGTGAGCGTTCTGGCGCAATATGGCTGCCGTCGCATCATCCAGGTGGATGCTGCACATTGGTGGTGGTTGAGGAGATCCCCCCCTTCTATGTGAAGCGCTTTGAGTGTCCAGAAAAGCGCTATATAAATGTAACGAATTATTATTATTATTATTATTATTTCTTTAAATTGATTGACACGCCCAGTGATTGGTGATTTTCTAGATTTTCAACTGCGCATGACAAATTGTAATAAAATTACTTTTAACACCACCTACTGTGTGGCCTTTTTACCCTAAACTGATCATATTTTTTAAACTCTTAAGTAAATTCAGTAAAAAAATAAAAAAAGAGGATTTCTCTAAGTAAATAAAAGTAAATTAGGTAATCAACCCTCACTGGTCTCGGTCTCGACTCGAACTCGACCGTCTCTGGTCTCGGACTCGACTCGGACTCGACTCTCTCTGGACTCGGTCTTGACTCGGACTCGACTCTCTCTGGTCTCAGTGTCGACTCGGACTCGAGTGAGGTGGTCTCGACTACAACACTGACAGGAAGTGCTTCTGGACCAGTGTTGTTTACATCTTGTGAAATGGTCTATACTTTCTAAATGCGTGTTAGATCATGTGTTTTTAAAGATATTTTGACCTCATAAAATGCCAAAACTGGACCTTTCAGTGAAAACACCGTTTTATTTTCCGAGAATCCCTTACACTTGGATGTACATCACAATTTAGAAACAAAAGATCCGTCGCTACTTCTGTTTCATTGCAACTTTAAGTGCATTGATGCGAGAGCGCTTAGGAAAGATGCTCTAAAAATCTACACTCTAAAAAAATGCTGGGTTGTTTGAACCCAATTTTGGGTAAAATATGGACAAACCCAGCCATTGGGTTACATTTTTAAAGTACAATTTTAACCCAATAGTTGGGTTTGTTCATATTTTATCCCAAATTGGGTTAAAACAACCCAGCATTTTTTAGAGTGCAGTGTCTATGATTTCAAACAGGTTTCCTGAACACTATCTACTATTGCCCAGATGTACTAATAGCTTTGGTTGAGCCTATAAAAATGAACATATAAAATCAACTTTAAGAAGGAATATATCAGAGAGAGGGAGCAAAAAAAAAGCCAGTAGAACATCAGCACAAAAATATTATCAGACATGAATGTAGATGTCGTTGTCAGTGATGATTCTGTGTGAATCAATGCGTCTTTTCTTTTTACAAGATCAAATCTGTCTGTTTCCCTTACTCAGCACGCTATTTGCTGCTGAACTCTGCTCTGATGGAAACGGGGAGAAAGAACTAAAGCGGGGAATGAGAGATGACAGCCGGAGAGGAGAAGATGAGCATATTAGACAGGCAAACTTCCTAGAAATAATTGGGTGACTTTATGATGAAGTGCTACAATTACATCTAAGTGTAGTAGGGGACGGCAATCCAATCAATCCAATCTGATCAATATCAAGACGCCGGTTGTGTTTTGGCGCACACGTATGCGTGTCATCGTGTGACAGCGGTGATGCTATTTGACATGCCATCTTGCACGGCTGAAGACAAAGTGGCGTGCAGGAATCCGAAGTAAGATGTCGGCTTGTTAATAAAGCATTGATCGGGCGTATTGATTTTACATGACATGGCTTTCACAAGGATGTAGCTCTCTCTCACACACACCTTCACCTCCCCCTTTCCTCGTTCCTAGACGGACGCCATCCGACTCCTCCAGACAGGAGGGTAGATGTAAATGTTTGTATTCCAGCACTTCATTATGCCTGAATTTGCCCATGTGAGGGAATCCATCATTTTGGCTGGTTTCTTATGTCCGGGGTCTGGGACTACACAAATGGATCATGGACTTTTGACACTGGCCCTTCAGGATGTGTATTTGCCCTGGGACATATAATAAAAGCAGCACTCGGTGACATTAAATACGGCCCAAAAGCGGGCAGATTTACAGCCGTTCTGATGGCACTTTCACACAGCGCATGCAGCCCCGAGCAGCAACATGTTGTTCTGTGCTCTGACATTGAGGCTTTGCTGATGAAGGAATGTGTGCGTTTGATAAATGTATCGGAACAGTGGGCGCTAAACGCTCTTCAGTTATTGATCTGATGCTAATGCAGTAAAAGAGGTCAGTGAGACCTTCATTAGCACAAGACAGTCCCTCACCTCAGAGATCCTCCATCTCAAACACGCCAGGAATTATTAACTACAGCCGTGTGAAAATCACGATATAAAAAGATGTGAATAAAAATAAATTGTGATCATAGTTTCTAATGGAAAAATAATGGATATTAGCAATAAATAAATAAAATAAAAATGAATTACAGTTTATTACTCAATTCAATAACATAATTGCAACATCTACAGTTTATGTTGCCAGGGTTTTATGTGTTTTTAGATTTACTGATCCAGGTGATTCTGGTCTCTAGATATGGCTCAGGTTCCTCCTTCAATATAAATATATTGGATTTACATTTAAAGGAAAAAAAAAAAAAAGTTTGCTGATAATTTACTCACCCCCATGTCATCCAAGATGTCCATGTCTTTCTTTCTTCAGTCGGAAAGAAATTAAGGTTTTTGATGAAAACATTCCAGGATTTTCTCCATATAATGTACTTCAATGGGAACCAAACGGTTCAAGGTCCAAATAAGAGTTTCAGTGCAGCTTCAAAGGGCTTTAAACGACACCAGACGATGAATAAGGGTCTCATCAAGCAAAACGATCGCTCATTTCAAAAATAAATATAAAAGTTTAAGTTTTAAAAGCACAAATGCTCGCCTTGCTCTGTTCTGTGATGCACGTTCATGACTCTCCTGTTCAAACTCGTTCATCAAAATGAACAAATCTTTTTTCGAGTCATGACTCGAAGGGTCCTTGATAAGTCGTTTAAAGCCCTTTGAAGCTGCACTGAAACTTTCATTTGAACCTTGAACCGTTTGGTTCCCATTGAAGTCCATTATATGGAGAAAATCCTGGAATGTTTTCATCAAAAACCTTAATTTCTTTTCAACTGAAGAAAGAAAGACGTGGACATCTTGGATGACATGGGGGTGAGTGAACTAAGTGTCTTAAGAAACACCACTAATAACTCTATTACACGTAATATTTAAGTGGAAACTTTGGTTACTATGATACAAGTTTTATAAAGGGAGGACTTTTGTGATTACAAACACATCAAATTGATAAAAATAACAGAGAAGGAGAAACAGATGTGGTGTTGGTGTGTGTGTGGGGGGTATCAGTGCTACTGGGCCAGCTGGGAAATATGGAGAACAGATTGCGCAATAACAGTTTAAATCCAGACAGACTCCTGCAAGCATCTTGCCTTCTCCTTCACTGCTGTTGTTGAACTATTAAACGTTTACAACGTACACACTCTCTATCTCTTTCTCTTTCAGCCCAAGCCTGAGGCTTAGCCCCTCCCACTGGCC